ATTACGCTAAAATCCGAAACACATCACATAAGCGTAACAGAAATCTCATTTCAAACCTGAGCTTCCCAAAGTCTTTGATGCTTCTGAGAAAGCTTTTCAGGGGGCTTAATGACTCCTCTTAAAATGGGTTGTCCAGAGGAGGAAGATGTTATACAACTAGAAACTGGCATTGGCCAAGATTGAGAAGAGACAAATCCATATGATGCTCTTGGATAGTTGGACATCCCAGGAAACAGTAATGGTTGTGATTGACCCCACCAAATTGAGGGTTCCCAATAACCTGTTGAAAAGGGCAAGTTCAGAGTTCATACCCCAATTTCCAAAACTCAAACTGAGAATTACACAAACACATCACATTCAATCACTAGGTTTGGAAAAGCACCAACTAATTTCTCAAATAATGTCTACAGAATTACTGTACTAAATAGTTGTGAAAGTGAAAACTCACCTGGAAAGCCAGAATATGTTGGATATCCAACAGGGTAACCGAAATTAGGAGTTTGGGGCTGAAAGCCAGCAACTCCATCCGCTCGCGGCTGTAGCCAAAAGGGTTGTGAGGACAGCACAAATTGCGGCGGCGGCTGAATATTGGCCAGGTTTTGCGGCGGCTGAATCGGCTCGTTCATCGCGGCGGCGGACGAGGATGTAGATTTCTCCCCTGCATGTTGAGGGTCGAGTGCCCTCTGAAGAAGCGCAGTATACTGCTCATTTTGGCGAGCCGCATTCTGTAGAGACTGGCACTCGGATTTGGCATTTCTTGAAGCATCTGTCGCATCGGGTACGCTTCTCTCATTCTTCCTCTGTTTGACGAACAGTATATTTATTTCCAATTAGCATAATGTTAATCTTAAAATACAAGCAGAAATTAAACCCAAAAGATGGAAATAATGCGAAACCCCACATCCCACAACTTGGCCGATGAAATCAAATCAAAAGGTGGGGTTGGGGGGAACGTAGAAATGAAGCGAAAACACGAAACCCATCATTTCAAGAAAATGAGCAAAGAAACATACTAAAACTCCATTGGCGTCGTGTTGAAGATTGGGAGCAGAAGCAAAGTCGAGTTCTTCTTCCTTTTCCATGGCATTGAAAAAGAACAGCTATTGGGAACTCAGAATCCAAAAAAGTAAAGCAACTTCTTTAGCTTTAAGCAGGCCTATAAGCATCCAATTTGGATGCCTAATGGCTAATGCTATCGCTTCACTTAAACTGAATTAAAAATGAATATGCGAAGGGCTGGAAAAGGAGAAGGAAGCAATTAAAGCAAATAAAGGAGTCACTGAGAGAAGAACGTGAAGGGAATATCACAGAATTTTGTGCTTTTGTTGTTGCAGACTTGCAGTTGCACTGCACCAGATACTGTTGTTACTTTTTGATTAAATTAATATAAGTATTAATTAAGGATGGAATGCTAATACAATTTTAATCAAAACAAAATATAAAATGAAAAAAAATATGGTATAGATTGGAGCAGAGGCACGGGATGCATTGAATTGCTTACCCGTCCCAACTACAAGTGATTGGCACCTGAAAAAGAAATGGGCAAATTTCTATGACGTGTCATTTTCTGTCTCATGTTGCACAAATTTTACCATTAAACATCAATTAAAATTGCATATATCATTTACTCTTTTTTTAATTTTTTAATTTTTTAATTTTTTTTAAAGAAATATAGAGGTTGGATATTGATCTAGGAAAGAAGCAACATGCCTCAACCACATGTTGATTTTTAGATATTAGTTCAAATTGAATAAATGATGTGATATTATTAATATAGCTCATTTTACTTAAAAACATAACTCAAGATAAAGTATCATCATAACATACCTTTTTTTTATGTTTTATTCTTCTTCTTCTTTCTCTCTCTTTTTTTTTTAATGTATCTTTCTTGATGACATTTTTAAAATTAGGTAGCTTTTCAAGTGATAGTAGAATCTTTTTTTATTATTTACTAGGATTGGTTGATTTTTTTTTTAATTTTTTTAATCAGCAAGAAAATATTTGTTCATTAAAACCAATAATTTTTTAAATGTCAAATCGTCATTCTAATATTCAGTTTTCAACATTATTAAAGACTTATTAAAAGGTTATAATACTATGAGAATAAAATTTGAACTTTCTATTTATTGTAGATGAAATTAAATATGATATATTATATATATATATACACTTTGGCTATAAGAAAAGGTTAAAAATTAATCTTTTTTCGGTAGACTTTGCTTTACAAAATATATTAGCTTTTCATATTACACAATTTAATGCATTTTGTTTACGAATGTACAAAATAAAACTGGGAAGGGAAGAATTTTCATTAGAGAAAAAAAAAACCAATTTTTGCTTCACTATTTAAAAGTGGTAATATTACATTGGAAAAAAAAAAGTTATCAACTCTCGAAAGAATAAAAAACGTAATGAAATATGGGATAAAAAAACGGGGAGAATTATTATTGGAGAACGGGAGCGAAGAAATTCAAAGGCGCAAAACAGTATGGAAAATAACGAATTTACCAAGAAGACTACCTAGTCAAAACTCCAATCAAGGTTTACGGACTCTTTTCAAAAAAATAGAACTACGAATCGTGGATGAAGGCTTATTTATGATGTCAATCAAATGGCTTGAAATAAGAAAAAAAAAACATTCAGTTTCTGGATAAAAAACTTTATTCATACAACACAACACTAAAATAGGGATATAGCATAAAAGCAATACAGCCGCCGATGAGCTGCATCACTCGAGAGGACACATTCGCAGATATAGTCAATTGCAAGTGAAAGCACATGGCTATTACAACATATAGCAACACCACCAGGGATAATAGGTGAACGGGGAACTGTGATGCAACTTAGTAGTCTTCTCCCTCATCACCATCTTCGTCGTCACCGGCCTCAGCACCGACCTCCTCGTAGTCCTTCTCCAAGGCTGCAAGGTCCTCCCTGGCCTCAGAGAACTCACCTTCTTCCATACCCTCACCCACGTACCAGTGCACGAAAGCCCTCTTCGCATACATGAGATCAAATTTGTGGTCAATTCGAGAGAAGACCTCGGCAACACTTGTGGAGTTGGAGATCATGCATACAGCTCTCTGAACCTTAGCCAGATCGCCGCCTGGCACAACAGTAGGTGGCTGGTAGTTGATACCACACTTGAATCCTGTTGGGCACCAGTCGACAAATTGGATGGTTCGTTTGGTCTTGATGGTAGCCACGGCTGCGTTCACATCCTTTGGAACCACATCTCCTCTGTACATCAGACAACAGGCCATGTATTTTCCATGGCGGGGATCACACTTGGCCATCATGGATGAGGGCTCAAATGCGCTGTTGGTGATCTCTGCAACAGAGAGTTGCTCGTGGTAGGCCTTCTCAGCCGAGATCACAGGAGCATAAGATGAAAGCATGAAGTGAATCCTGGGGTATGGGACCAGATTAGTCTGGAATTCAGTGACGTCCACATTCAGAGCACCATCAAACCTCAGAGATGCAGTCAGAGATGAAATCACCTGGAAATTTAACATAATGTGAATAATTAGACATTGGACCTTCTATGATTTAGACCCAAAAACAAAACAAAAAACGTTCCAAGGGGAATGGATGGTATTGGTACCTGAGAAATCAAGCGATTGAGGTTCTGGTAGGTGGGGCGATCAATGTCAAGGGAGCGCCGACAGATATCATAGATGGCCTCGTTATCAAGTAGCACAGCAACATCGGTGTGCTCCAAAAGCGAATGGGTTGAAAGGACACTGTTGTAAGGCTCAACGACAGATGTTGAAACCTGTGGTGAGGGGTAAACAGTAAATCCAAGCTTGGATTTCTTTCCGTAGTCCACGGATAGACGTTCCAGCAGGAGGGATCCAAGACCAGAACCCGTTCCTCCACCCACAGCATTGAAAACAAGGAAACCTTGAAGACCAGTGCAATTGTCCGCAAGCTTTCTGATACGATCCAAGCAGAGATCAACAATCTCTTTACCAACTGAATTACAAAAGGATAAACGTGTTAAAACAGAGGATGGTTAACAGGAAGCAACTGATAAATGTAAAAAGAAAAAGAATAATTACTCGTATAATGGCCACGAGCAAAGTTGTTGGCTGCATCTTCCTTGCCACTGATGAGCTGCTCAGGATGGAATAGTTGGCGGTACGCCCCAGTCCTGACTTCATCAATGACTGTTGGCTCAAGATCTACAAAAACGGCACGAGGTACATGCTTCCCAGCGCCAGTCTCACTGAAGAAGGTGTTGAAGGCGTCATCACCCCCACCAACGGTCTTGTCACTTGGCATCTGTCCATCGGGCTGCAAACGAGACAGATAAAAGACACTCAGATTTCTGTTTTAAACATCTGTCTGGTTCATTTCATAGAGATACAAAAAGAGATGCTTTAACGTATCATTTCAAGATTTTAACATCGCTTCCACCAATGCGTGTACTTCGGCACGATATATCACATTAGAAAACCATCCGTCTTGAATGCCATTAGTCAAGAACACATAAAAACTCGTATGGCCGATATGATAACTTGTTGAAAGGCACAACTATTGGCTTAACAAGTCCAATTAATTAAGCAGAATATGCTAAGATATGACCAGTATAATACGTTTGCCATATTCATTAAAGTACAAGCATTTATTGTCTGATTAACTAAAAAATCATTCCAGATCCCAGAGTAAGTTAATCCAAAAACTTCGTCGTCAACGGAATGCCAGCTAATATAGAGCCCAAACTGTGTTGTGTAAAGAAAGCTTTTGAAAAGAAAAGTCGGAAAACACCTAAACCCAGAACAGGATTTAAACGCTTATGAAGCACATTGAATTAAAAAAAAAAAACACCTGAAATTAATTCATTAGCCGGTTCAAAGAATCCAAATTTCTCGTGGAAAATATATTGAAAGGTTTCTTAATCTGCGACGATCTGGACAAAATGTCAAAGACGGGTTCCAAGAAATAGAAATCAAAACGAGATGTGCTTGATCTACTTAGTACGAAGGTACATTGACGTATTCTCGAGTAAAAACCCCCGGAAAACGCATCAGGAGACATAAGAACACCAGATCTGGGAAATGCCGATAAACATACACAAGAAAGCCCTAGATCTCATCATTTACAGCCAGATAACGGCAACCATTCCCAGACAGTCACTCAAACCGATAACAACGAAGAGATCAAAGACAAGCATGGACAAATCTGAATGCGACAGAAGCAGAGACTTAGAAATATATATAAAAGAAGGCATACCTGAATGCCATGCTCCAAGCAGTAAAGCTCCCAGCAGGCATTGCCGACCTGAATACCGGCCTGACCAATGTGGACGGAGATGCACTCTCTCATTTTGGCTTTGGTTTAGGGTTATAACTTAGAAGTGGAAAAAGAGAAGGGGGAACGGAGAAGAAAGCAGAAAGAGGCAGAGTAGCGTTTATGAAGACGCTTCTCCCAAAGATCGGAAATTGGCGCAGAAGAGCGTTTGTTGTTCCGGCGTTTTATAGAAGGGGAGAATGTGGCGAGAGGAATCGGGGGTTAAGGTGCTCGTGCCAGCGCCGGGTGGCACGTGGGAATTTAACCACGGTTAGTTTACTGTGGTTAAATAGTACCAGTACTGGGGTTCGGCCTTTATTTCTCTAACATTGAATCGTGGGAGGTGGCTTTATGTTATCATATCATTGGTGGGATCAAAATTTTTTGACAGTTCAAATTTCAAATCGATTTGAATCTCCGGGTTGGTATTGTGGTGTGGGCCATCCAAGACGCGAATTTTTTTGCGAAAATATTTCCTAGTTTTTAATTCTCTCATAAATTCTTTTTTTTTATATTTCATTTTATGGAACTCTCATAAATTTTCTTTTTAATTATTAGAGATGAGATGATTTAACATTTGGCAGGTGTTATAATAATATACTAATTGACAGAATCTGAACTTTACTCATCTCTGAAAGATGAATTCCAACCTTTAAAAAATAGATAATAGTTGAGGATAGTAAATTTTTTCTTTTTTCTTTTGAGAATTTGTCTATCGATTGAGTTTATGATTGTGAATATTGAAATATTATTTAATTACAATCATTATAATTTTTTAGGTGGTATTTTATTATACTACTAAATTATTACAACATAATTAAGATAAGGTTTGTTTTTTAAGTAGATAAGATGCAACAAACAAATAAAAATTACAATAAATTAACAAGCATGTTATAAACTCAATCTAGAACTAATTTCTAACTAAATTAGGATTATGGAAATTATAAAAACGGATATGTGTATGGTCGTAACAACTTGGAAGCTAGCATGAAATTTTCCTTTTTAATATACTAGAATATAAATTAATCATTGGTTGATATGAGTTACTATCCAACTTAATTCAATTATTCAATACATTATTTACCTCGGGTTGAAATCTCTACTTTTATTTATTAAATTTAAATAAAATTTCAAAACATTTCTTATAGTATCTGATTTTTTCAAAGGAGAATCAGAAAACAGTTTTTAAAGTCCTAAACACCCAAATGAATTTGTTGTTTTTTCTTATTATTATTTTTATTTTAGCGATGTAAAATGGGCCACAAACAATAACATGTGAGTGGAGAATATTTTAGAAGCCATAATTAATTAATGAAATAAGGGAAAAAACAAAGATCTTCCACAATAGTATTAAAATAATTGAGATGGCGCTTGATTATTATTATTATTTTTCTGCAAAGGAATTTGAGATATTGAATGGGGTCAATAATGTAATTACGCAGAAAAGGAAGACAAAAATGAAGGTCATGTATCCCTTAAACTAGACATAAATATGGTATATGGTCATATTGAGTGAGTCTTTGTTTTGCTTTTGGGCAAAAAATGGAGCTTCAAAAAGAATGCAGAAAGAAATTAACAAAACCTAATCTCATATGCTTAGGTCATATGTCCAATGTGCATCTTAAGTATGTAGTTTTCATGGTATAAATATGAAACAAAAATAAATGAAAAAAGTAGACCATATTTTCAAACATCAATTTATTGATATTATGTATGGTTGTGAACATACTCGTAATCATTGGGATGGATCCATTCCGGAACTGCCTTTGAAATTAACTTAAATTAGTATATTGAAAAGGAAATAACTTTTGTAATAAATAGAAGTCCAAGGTTTCATCTCCTACAGACCAGTAAAGAGCAGATTGACTATATGACGGAAGGGTAAAAGCAATTGACCAAGTGTATGGATTTAATTTCTTATCGTCTTGAAGATCATCTCTCTTAATCTTGGGTTAAACTCTACTGTAGTGACTATACAAGGGACGTCAACCCTCTTATCCTAATTTCAAATCACCAAACTTTACAAGCTCTTGTTTTTTTCCTTTGCCAAAAACAAATAAAAATATTTTTTAAATTTTAAATTAAAAAACTTTAAAATTTTATTTTTCTTTGAATATGAGATTTTTATATCTAAAAAGTTTATATTATATATATATATATATATTTAATGAATTCAACTTCACCTATAAGATAAAAATACGAAATAATAACGAAGTTATAGGATTATAGTTTTAAATTTTGTTTATTCTTTAAACTATTTAAACTAAAAGAAATTTAATTTTATTGAAAAAAGCTTTACTAATATTTTAATTTTGTCCTCTTTTTCTATATTTATATAGATATAATTCAATCTTATTTTATTTTGAACAAATTAATATGAAATTATGTATACATAAAATCATAAATTTTTGTATTTGTTTTACCAAAATTTGTAGTACTTATACTAAACAAACCAATATTGTACCTAATGATTTATTATAGTTTAGTTTTTAATATTACATAATTCTAATGTTTATAATAAATGCATCTAAAATTATATTTAGGAAAAATCAATTTTTATCTCTAAACTAGATAAGTTGATCAATTTTCAACATAAACTTTTTTATCGATTTGAAACCCATACTATAAATGTTTCGATTTTTACCAACTATTATTTTCCACTAATTCTCCACTAATTTAAACAAAAAAACAATTGAAAAAACTCAAAAGAAACAAAAGAAAAAATCTCACTAAGCTTTTCTTTGCATTAAGTTTGATTAATGGATAAAATCAACTATGAAATAACTCTGTCCAAACTTACAAATTAAAAATGAATCAAATCCAATGTTGTTTCTGTCTCCTATCAATTTCATACTAAAATATATGTTTTATATATAATTTTGTTTACCTTTCTTATCAATTTCATGCCAAAATATATGTTTTACCTATAATTTATTTGACACAAATGAGAATATATTTTTAAACAAAATTTCCAATGAAAATCTATTATATTAGAAGGTACAAATTGTAACATCTTAAGAAAGTTAAGGTCAAAATTACAACACATTTATCCAAGTTTATTGTGCAGTTCGATGAAATTGAAAGTTTACTGTAAAAATTGATATATATTGCCAAGTTTAGCGTTAAGGACAATATTTTCTCATTACATTCCTAAAATCTAGATCTGCCACTGGTGATCAACAAATTGAATAAGTTGGAAGTTCACGTTAATTAAATGAACGCCCCATGATAATCCCTCCTCCACACTATTCAAAAATATTTTTTTAGAAAAATAGTAATTTGTTGTCCACCTAAACTTAACTCACTAATTAAGAGATCTATCTCCGAAAGGTTGTATGTTCGAACTCGTCGACATCCTACCTATCTAAAAAAGGAAAATAGAATGTGTGTTTGAAAAAAGAATTAGATAAGAAGTCTGACTATATCACCAAAATTTCAATAAATCTAAAACTCACCAATCAAGAGATGAGCCATCTTTATCATTAGGCTCGATATATACCACCTCCCTACGATGGCTTGTTTTCTATTAATTTTAGATTTTTAGGAGTGGAACATAGGAATAATTTTTATACCAAAATAGAAATACTAAAGCAATGTATATATAGAAATGAACCAAATATTGTCCACCACTTCAGAAATTAAAAGTTCATATTTAAATAAAAATATAAATAATGGTTTTGTAGAGTTATAAATAATAATGTTGAAACCTAATGTATTATAGTGAGTTAAGAGTAATACATTTACAAGGGAAAGACAGTTGAGAACTATATTAGTAAATATATTTTGCTTAGTCTAATTTTTTTTTAATAAAAAAAGCACTTCATCAATTTGAAAATTGTCACTAGGACATGAAAATAGTACATTTCCTGTTGAGAAAGGAAAAAAATCATCGAAAGGAAAAGATCAAGCCAAAAAGGAGTATTTGCTTAGTCTAATTAATGTTATCCTATTTTACATTCCTAAGTATATTTTCTTACAGCAAAGTCTGTTTCCTAATTTAGTTCATATCCCATAAAAATATCAGGCAACACTCATTCCCTAGAAAGGGATATTGGGCCATCAATCTTTCATGCTTATTGTTCTCTTGATAGCTAAATTTAATAAGAGCCAGTTAATTTAACAAATTAAAAAAAAAAACATTGCTAATTTTATTTGTGGCCTGATTAGAAATAAATCCTAACCCTGTGACTATTAGAGATATGGTATATATATGGTAGGTGAAAATTTTATATTCATAGGCTAAAGGATCCTTGTATTATAATAATCCAACATCGTATATATATTTTATTCTTAATTAAAAACACGTACATGTTTTCAGAAAATAAATAATCATACATATTCTCAACTTATTATAAGGAGTAGCAAGCTAGTGTATAGCATTCAGACATATGAAACATAAATATACAATTCTTTTGCATTTATTCCAAGTTCTTAAGGGTTTTGTGTTAGGCCATAGAATTAATATTCGAGATAAATTAAATATGCGATCCAGAATAGATTATATATTACAGCCTAAATTAAGCTTGGATTCATTTTTGGTTCTGACAAATCATTCACTCTCGACGAGAAAAAAAGGTAGAAATAATATTGCTTGGATCATAATCCACGCAAGAAGGAATTTGTGTTGTGGAATTGATCCGATCCTCAAAATTATTCAATTCCAAAACTTTTTTTTTCTTTTTTCCTTTATCCTTCTTACGCTATGTGTCGTCTCCAACCCAACCACAAGATAACCCCGATTCAATTCATGATAATCGTATTTCAAATTATTATATAAATTAAGCCAACAACAAAATTAATTAACAAAAGAAATACATACCATCCCAATTAGCTAGATTCATCTTAATTAAGACCATCTTGCATCGATCTCAGCCGTACGTTTCTGACCCTAATTTCTTCCTGTTTTCCTTCTTCTTCTTGTTTTTCTTGCTTAGTTACCGCTACTGCCTGGCTCCTTCCTGTCTGCCATATTTGCGTTTTCCTCTGCTTCAACATTCTTCACATTGCACTCTTTTTTTCACCCTTTTCATAAATTTACCCAACTGGGTGTACCTCCTCTATAATTTACAAATTGACTGCAATAATCCCCCAATCATTAAGAAACTTCCCCGATTGAAGATATACATAGATCATAAAATTAACAAGAAAGAGAGAAAGAGAGAGTTTTTTTTTCACCCAATCGATCATGATCCTCATAAATTAGCTGATCCGGGCCACACCCACGTCGAAGCTGATTATCGATCCTGGCCATCAAAATTTTCATGTCTCCATAAAGGAGGAAATTGAAAGTCTGATATATAGAGGGAGAGCAAGAGAAAGAGGGAGAGGAAACGGAAGAGAGGTTAATAAGAGGGGATATATATAATAATAATAAATAGAATAGAATAGAATAGAATATAAAAGTCACAAACTCACTCTCTCTATCTCTATCTCTCACTTTCTTCAACGCGTTAATCGATACTAATCAGTCGATTTCTTTGAAAATCTACATGAGATGGGATGGAGATCACATGGATTCCATTCCACATGCAATTTCTTCTTTTTTTTATAGGCCGACTAAAGTTTCGTGTGAATTTGGAAACAGGCCTGGTTTTGGGGTTTCCAAATATGCCAGCTCAAATATGCAGACTCACACAATTCAATAACCAAATAAAAAAACAAACGAGATTTAAAAAAAAAAAAAAATTTGATTTTGCGTATGGAAAGAGAAAAGGGCATGCTCTTTTTCTTTGTTGTTTTTTACATATCACAAAAGGAAACATATATACAAATATTGTGCAAAGAAGATAGCTTAAGGCTTACGATGTTTAGAATGTCTTTTTTATATTTTTAATAATTATTTGGGAAGTCTAGTGTGGTCGGATAAGATAATGTTGTTGAAGTATGCTTCCAGTTTCACACGACTATATAAATATAAATATAATTTGTTTTGGATTTGATTACTTATACCATAGTGGGAATGAAAGAGGAGATCTCATCTTAGGATGTGGATTAAAAGATAAAATAAAAATGAAACAGTGAGAGAGTGAAGGGAGGCAAAAGATGGTGCCTTTGGCTGAAACGTCCATGATGATTCTTTCGTTGTCCCAACTCAACTCCCAACGTTCAAACAAACCAACCCCCTTCTAGAAACACTCAACTAGGAACACCGACAATTTTATTTTATTATTATCTTTTTAATTGTTTTAGAGGACATAAAAAGTTTCATATCTTTTCAAGTTAAAAAGAGACCTTCCTCAATATCTGTCGTATTACATATATTTTTAGATTTAAATACTATTTTAGACGAGGTACTTTCAAAACATTCATTCTAGTTCTTCTATGGGTAAACGATGACTATTTTGATCCTTATTGGTAGAATTTTAATACAAATTTATGACTATATTTCAAGAAATTTAATAGGTAAAGTATCACGTTAGAATTGTGATGGAAAGAAATAAGAAAAATAAAAATAATTGGACTGGAATAGTCATTTTTAATACCAGAGGATGTTTAGATTTGATTTTTTTTTAAAGTATAATCTATTTAACTTTCAAAATAGTCTGGGCTTATCGACTGGGGCAGCCCAACAATGTTATCATTATCGGGCCCGTTGGGTTGATCCAGTGGCCCATGGGAAAGAAACTGTGATCCACATTGACGTTTGACCCGAACCAGGCGTGGTTCGGGTTCAGGAGCGAGATGGTTTCATATCATCCACAAAGGCCGCAAATCGATGGGAGAGGGCGGGGGTGGGGTCCACCATGACACGTGTTGACAATTCGAGTAAGATAAGATTGGTCTTCCTTCACATTTCCCAACCATTTGTTATTGTATTATATAATTTTACCCACTGACTTCTCTTTTCAACGCCAAGTTTCGAAAGGTTTCTGATTTTGAAGCGGTGGGTTTGTTCTCTGTTCGTGGAAATTAATCATGCAGCCGATTCCGGATGTTAATCAGCGCATTGCTCGAATCTCTGCGCATCTTCATCCTCCCAAGCCCCAGGTTCTTACTCTTCCTTTTGGTGTATTTTCTTCGAGTTACTGCTAAATTGGAAGGATCATATTGGGGAGTGTGAGGATTTAGTTGTAGATCAAGTGATCGTAGTTGTTCGTTATGTTCGAATAATTAGGTTTTTGTCGATTATTTATTTCAATTTTGGTTGTGTTGGTTATGATCTTCGTTCTGAATAGATGGAGGAGAGCTCAAGTTTGAGGCGGGCGAATTGCAGGGCGAAAGGCGGATCTCCTGGGTTCAAAGTCGCGATACTTGGAGCCGCCGGTGGCATTGGCCAGCCCCTTGCGATGTTGATGAAGATAAATCCTCTGGTGTCTGTTCTACATCTTTATGACGTCGTTAATGCCCCTGGCGTCACCGCTGATATTAGCCATATGGACACTGGTGCTGTGGTGCGTTTGTTATTTCTATTCTATTGGTTTGTCTTTCGTACAATTTTAAATTAGAATGTATTTGTGGGATGTGAGTTTTGATTAACTGTCTTTTATTCCCATTCGAGATAACGAATTTGTTTTGCTTGAGTGGCTTTGCAAATTTGAAAACCCGAAGCGAATAGCAATATAGCATATTGATGGTATTTCTGAAAATTTAGGTTCGTGGATTCTTGGGGCAGCAGCAGCTGGAGGCTGCGCTTACAGGCATGGATCTTGTTATAATCCCTGCAGGCGTTCCGCGAAAACCAGGAATGACAAGGGATGACCTATTCAAAATAAATGCTGGAATTGTCAAGACTCTCTGCGAAGGGATTGCAAAGTGTTGTCCCAAAGCTATTGTTAACCTAATCAGTAACCCAGTGAACTCCACTGTGCCCATTGCAGCTGAAGTTTTCAAGAAGGCTGGAACTTTTGATCCAAAGAGACTTCTGGGAGTTACTATGCTCGATGTCGTTCGAGCCAATACCTTTGTGGTATGCACTAGACGACTAATCTTGTTTCTTTTTAATAAGTTAATGTTGTGTACATTTGAAAGTTAGATTGTTGCAACGAAGGATGAAGATCTCACGGGATAAACAAGAAACAGAAAATCCATGGTAACCATGGCATTCCTGGTGGCATTTCTTTGACTAATTAACAGTACAATAAGAATGGAGATGTGATCACTTTTGGCTTTCTTGTGACTTGTATTCAGACCACCACCTTATTTTATTATTATTATTATTATTATTATTTTTTCTTTTATTATTTTATTATTTTATATCTGGAGTAACTTGTGCCATCTCTTCATGTGCTTCTGTCTTTTTCAGGCTGAAGTATTGGGTCTTGATCCTCGGGATGTGGATGTTCCAGTCGTTGGCGGTCATGCGGGTGTAACGATTTTACCCCTTCTGTCTCAGGTTTGTAAGGACAATTTCAAATTTGGTTGAATTACACACAATGTCTCTAATTTGCGTGTGAAGTTTTTATTTTGTTGTTTATGTTAGGTCAAGCCTCCAAGTTCTTTCACACAAGAAGAGATTAATTACCTAACTGATAGGATTCAAAATGGTGGAACAGAAGTTGTTGAGGTAAGAATTCATTAGCTCGATATATTGAATATTTGCTGTGTAAAGTCTGTAATTATGAACGCATTTTATCAGAAAACTCTGGTAGCAAAAACTTTGCCAGTTTCCAATAGATAGAGATGTACCAGTGTATGTGCTTGTTTGGGTACCCCTGCCACATTAATTATCAGTACATGACATCAAACATTACGATGAATTGATAAATGGTGAAGCTAAGAACAGGTATATGGGTTTAGATTAAGCATCTGACTCGTGTAGAATCAGATTTGTACTTGTCCATTAAATGGTTAGATGATGCTACATAGAGCTCTAATTATTTAACTTTTGTGAAGCTTTTGATATGTAGATAGTTTGTTGCACCGAGACGCAAATTAGATTTTGATATTTGTTGATCCGCGTTGCTGTATTCTTATCAAAATTATTACAATAGCTTCCTAAAACCAATCTTGTTATCTGCAGGCCAAAGCGGGAGCTGGTTCAGCAACTCTCTCAATGGTTGGTTGTTTTTTACCCCTTGTCATCACCTAATGATTAAAATTGTTTCACTTCTATGAATAAAAAAATAGCAAAAGAACTAAGAAAAGTGACCAGAAATGCTATTTTGACTATAGTGTGTGGTAAAAATGTCCAGGCATATGCTGCCGTTAAGTTTGCCGATGCATGCCTCAGGGGCTTAAGAGGAGATGCTGGCATCGTTGAATGTGCTTTTGTGTTTTCAGAGGTATGCATCCTTCATCCAAGTTATCATTCTCTTTTCCATTTCAGTAGTTTGAATAATGCTCATCTCTCACACGATTGCCTGGTACAGGTGACTGAACTTCCGTTCTTTGCATCGAAAGTTCGACTGGGTCGCACTGGCGTTGAAGAAGTATACTCCCTTGGTCCGCTGAACGAGTACGAGAGGTATGTGATTACCAGTTATGAAAGTTTAACATAAGAATCAGATTTAACCACTCATTTAGATTATGATTGAAACGTCAGTCTAGGCTAGCATGAGAACAATGAGTTTCAAAGAGTTGGGATATTGATTGACAGGATTGGATTGGAGAAAGCAAAGAAAGAGTTGGCAGGAAGCATTGAGAAGGGAGTCTCCTTCATCAGAAGCTGAAGAGATTCCAATTACTACAGTTTTAAATTTCTATTTCATCTCTTATAGATTATTTATACTACGTCTTCCTGGTGATTGGAGTTGATCGAAATGAAACCACACTAGGTAAAACTTTTATACTAATAAAACAATCTGATGGTGATATTTTCAACCTGTCAGTTTTTTTTTTAATATTATTATTTTATTTTTAATGGTGTGGCTATAAAGTCGAAAATACTTTTTGAAAATTCTATAAATATTCGAAAGTACCTAAAGATTTTTGTAATACTTTCTTGAAACATCATTCCAAATCAATTGTATTATGAGTAGCTACTAATAAAATTAAAAAGAAAATCTCAGTTTTTTTTTTTTTTCAAATTTAAATGATGAGGGATGTTGAAATTATTGGCAAGAAAGAGCAGAGGCAGTTGTTCCTATTTGCAATCATGGCATGCCTCGTAATGCTTTTGCCCATGACTTTTACCTAATTATCAAAGCTGACACTTCCAGGACATAAAGGATCGTCTTTAAGTTCACTTTTGCTTTGGAAATTAACATTAGAAGACAAAGTGGTGCTTCAGTAATCAACAATTTAGAGGCTTCCTCTTTAAATTGATATGATACTTGGAGGCCCATTTAGTGGAATACCGATAATAATACCATGGCAAATTGATGATTGATTTTAAAGTTATATGAGATGATTGATAATATAACTGTTTTAAACCTTTTTTTTTTTTAAAATACAGTTGAATTCATGACTAAATTTTGAATTAAAAATAAATTTCAGAACCGCTTCATTTATGGATTTTTTTAATATTCCTAAAAATAAAAAATAATTATTAAAAGTATTACAAACTTTACGGATGAGAAAAAAATGAACCAACTAAAATAGATACAGAATCAACTTATTATAACGTGAAAATGCACACGTCTGTCCTTAACATTCATATGAGCCGAAAGAGCATGAAATAGAGATGGTATTTATTTGGTTATGTCGTGGGAGAATGTCGCGATTTTGCATAGTACATTCAGCAGTAACAGCAGATGATAGCCCATCTGCCCCCAACCTGAACCCCAAAAGAGAGACACAACAACATGCAAGTACATAACTTGAGACTCCTAATACAAATCATGGCCATATACATCAGAGTTCAGAGGCCAAGCAGATGGGGAAGATATGGCATATGGCTGCTGTGAAGTGAAGTGATAATGCACACTCTGAAACCAGTAACTTCTGGTGTTCACTGTTCAAAGACTGATATAATTTAAGTATCTCTTTCCTGGTTTGAGAATGATTGCTGCTGATGCTCCGTAAGGATTCGAACGACTTCCAGCATCGTGGGACGCTTTGCAGCCTCTTCTTCAGTGCACAGTATGGCAACATTGAGTACGTGCATCACTTCTTCGAGAGGGACGGAGGAGAGTCTTTGGTCGACAATTTTGTGTATTCCTTCCTTCTCTGAGTCTCTCATTTTTCTAACCCATTGAACTATGTCGATTCCATTGTTAAGTACTCCGATTGCTTTCCTACCGCTAACTAGCTCCAAGAGGACAACTCCAAAGCTATAGACATCCCACTTCTCGTCCGCGTTCTGCTTGTGGACATGCTCTGCAAGAAAAGTAAAATCAGCCCTTGATCACATTATTGAAAGATAAGTGCAAACTTGAAGCTCTTCAAGTGATGCAGGAAATCATATGCTATGAAGACATGTCTGCTTCTAAATGAGTACGAATAAGCTCAAGTTACTGTCATACCTGGTGCAGTACATATGGATGAATCAAGAGCTAACCTATCCGATGAGCCTGAAACTTGTAAGAACTTCACAAGCCCGGAATTGGCAAGCTGAGCATCAAAATTGGTATCTAGCATAATGTTGTTCGACTTCACGTCTCGATGAACAATTGGCGGCGAGCAGTGGTGGTGAAGATAGCAAAGTCCTTCCGCAGTCTCCTTGGCTATCTTGTACCTTGTATCCCAGAGTAAGTGACCTCCTTTATTGCCATGGAGAACTTCATAGAGGCTCCCGTTAGGCATGTACTCATAGACCAAAAGATTCGTTTCATGGTTAGAACAGACACCCAATAATCTAAGGATGTGACGGTGTCGAATCCTCCCAAGAGCTTGTATCTCGGCGTCGAACCCATGACCATCAGAACTCCCACTGCTCATCTTAAGAATAGGAAGTCTTTTCACGGTGACTTGATCACCATTTAGCATCACTCCTTTATATACAGTACCATAACCTCCTATTGCAATAACATTTTCCTCCTTAAGGCAGTTTAAGACCTCGTTTACTGAGAAATCCAACCGTTGGAAGGCTGTTAGTTTCCATCCTCGAAACTCCCTCGCTGCGCTCTTTAACGATCGAACTTTGAAGATTACAACAACTGTCACTGCAATAAAGCACAAAAACAATCCAACACCTAGTAGGAGCTTGAGCGAAGCAGAGTTCTTATGGTTGCTAGCGGCAACACCATCTTTGCAAGTCCCCAAATATGGGCCACAGAGATAAGGGTTGCCTAGAAATGATGTGTAGTTGAAGTAACCAAATTGCCCATTTCCCATAACCAAACCAGAGAGATTGTTATATGAAAAGTCCACAGAGGTTAAGCTCTGCATATTAACCATTGAAGCAGGAATGGACCCAACTAAATGGTTTCTTGAGAGATTCAAATAGGTCAATAATTTCATGTTGGTAATATTGTTCGGAATTTCACCGGAAAGCTCATTTCCACTGAGATCAAGGAAGATCAAGTGATTGCATCCACTTATCTGCGGCACAATTGGACCAGAGAGTTTATTCTGGCTGAAATCTATCCGAGATAGTTGCTGTAATCTCCCAATCTCGGAAGGAATCTGGCCGGAAAACTTATTCCGGTCAAGAAGTAGCTTCTGGACGGCCAAAAAGCTGCCGACAGAGGGTGGCAACGATCCAGAGAGCTTATTGTTCGATAAACTAATCTGAAGAAGATTTACTGAGATCGAACTGGTCATGGGAAATTCTCCGGAGAGAAAATTGTCGTGCAAATCAACCTGAGAGAGATTTGGCAAACCCAAGAGCCGTTTTGGAATTGATCCATTGAGAGCGTTGCCCCATAGAAGTATACGCCTTAGTGAAATGCAATTTCCCAACGACTCTGGGATCGAGCCAGACAAGGAATTGCCCATGGCGATGAAGATTTCAAGCCGATTCCCATGGCAAATTTCAGGAGGAATCGTACCAGTCAATTGGTTAAAAGCAAGATCAACAGTCCGAAGCATTCCGCCCTTCCCCAAATTCTGAGGGACGGACTCTGTAAAATTGTTACTCCACAACTGCAATGTCTCCAGCTCCGG